ACTTTTATACTGTTTAAAACAAATTTAAAAAATAAAAATGGTAAGGAAAATATTAAGATTTTTTTTAAAAGGAAGAGTTAATGTTTAATTGTTTCATTAATCTTGCATGTCTATATCTGGTAATCCAAGCCACAAGTTTTATGATAACAATATATAATACAACAACTATTGCTAATTTTTCTTCTTGTTTTGAAACTTTGTATCTTTTTTATTGTTTTATGTTGCTCTGTTTTTGTCTTTGTTCTTGCTATTTGTTTTTGTTTCTTTTCCTCTTTAAAATAAAAACAAACGAACAAATGAAATAGAAACTGAGAAGACTAAGAAGCATAATGCAATCTCAGGCACTCAGACCACCCAGAACAAGTCCAGGAAACATCAGCATAGAAGAAATTGGAAGTCACACAGCTGAATTCTTTGAAATAATAGTAACTGAATTAAAGAAACAACACCAGATGGGTATAAAAGAAACTAGATCAGAAGTAATCGCTCAGATAAAAAAGAAATGAAAACTATACAGAATTGCTGAGCATATATGAAGAAGACATTGACAAAAAATAGAAGAGCATAAAAAAGATGGAAACCATGAATGAACAATATAGGAAAGAAATAGAATGCATAAAACAAGTTACAAAGGATATCCAGGAAATTAAAAATTCCATTAAAGCTGGCAAAACCTTTTGAAACTGAATGTAGACATTCACACCATGAAGACAATATTACAGCTATTGACAAGGAAAGGAATGATATTATAAAACTAACAAACTACCAGAACATAATTTAACAACTACAAAATGACACAAAAAAGAATAACATAAGACAGACAGGTGTCAATGAAAAGGGAATCAATGCTAATGACATAAAAAGACTATTTACACAAGTAAAAGCAGAAAATTTCCCAAGCCTGGAGAAAGAATCTGACATAGAGTTAAGTGAGGCATATAGAACTCCAAATAATCATAAGCAAAATAAGTCTTCCAAAACATATAGTAATTCATACTTTTTCTTTATTTGACTAGATCTTTGAAATTTTCTTGGACATTTTGAAAACTAATTTTGACTCACTTTAAGATTCATAAAGATATTTTTCTCAGTCTTGTCAAATATAATATGTAAAATATTATTTGTTTAACCACTTGCTAGGGAACTTTATTTCGTCTTTTTGAAACATTAGCTCATTCAGAAAGCTTAAAGTAGCCACATTAAATTGTTTAGCTTCTTTTACCCCTTTCCTCCCTCATAAAAAATAAATTGCTGAGTTTTTGGGGATCCACCTAAATTGTGTTCCTGATGTGAGCGAAATGAGGTCTTAAGGACTAACCTCACTGTAGTACTACAGAGCCTTTCTTTCCTTTGTCAAAGGCAACTTTATCTTTAGGAAGCATTGTCTATTTCTCTCAGCTCTATTTTAAGAAGACAGTTTTTGATGTGGCATTTTTTCACAACAGATTATTAGTCAGCTACAAAAAAAGGATAAACTTCAGTCTTTTGTCATTAAATGGATGCAACTAGAGAATATAATCTTAAGTGAAATAAATCAGACCCTCATGCACAAACACGACATTGTCTCCTTAGTATGAGAATCTCAAAGAGAAAAATGGAATCTGAAGGGTATGATAGTGTTATGGTTTGTGTCTAGCTATCCCCCCTAAAGCCTCATGTAAGTCACTGGGCAGATGTGGCTGCAGAAGCAGTGAGTGGCTGGAGGGGTGGGACCAGAGGACCAAGGAGGGGCTTGAAGGGCGGGGCAAGAGAGGTGCAAACCCTTCAACTTGCATCTTGTGCTTCCCCTCACTCTGCGGTCTCTCTGAGGTGTGCAGAGGGTCATCCTAGACACAGTGGCCACCCTGCCTCTCCTCCAGACTCTGTAGATCAAGCAAGGCAGCAGTGTCTTTGATTGAGGCCACCTTGGGCAGAGAGGAGATGTTTGGAGAATACAGAGGCACTGCTCTCTGGAGCAAATAAGGCTCTGAGCTCTTGCTATGCAATTCAGGCTGTTTTAAACTATGAGGCCTCCAGTAACTGTGAGCTAAATAAACCTTTCCTTTCCTCATTTTTAGTGTCAGGTATTTGTCCCAGCAACTAGAGAAGAACAACTAAGACAAATAGATACTGGGAAAAAGGAATGAACTTATTTAGAAGGAAAGAGGTATTGTGAGGGTTGGTACGTGGCCCAGTGGTAAAGCTTCTTCTTGCCTTGCATGCACAAAGCCCTAAGTTCAATCCCCAGTATCACCGAAGAAGAAACAAAAGAAAGAGGTACTGATTTGAGAAGGACAGGAGAGGGAATGGGGAAAAGATATTTATCTATGTATCTATGTATGTAAGCAAGATGGTTTGGGGAACTGTATTGTGCATTTCTGCTGGTCTATGGAAAGAAGTAGTTAATGCTTTAATTTGCTGTCTCCTGTTTTCAATTGTTTGTACTTTTTCTTTTAATTTCTTATGCATTTATTTTTTGTTTCTTCCTCCAATTTTACATTCATATATCTGGCAATATGAATAACTGGTTGGAAGACAGCACTATGTATTACAACATGTATTTATTTATTTATTTTTGGCGGAACCAGGAATTGAACTCAGCCCTTGCACTTGCCAGGGTAGCACTTATTCCACTGAGCCATCTCCCTTGTGTATTACAACAAATACTGTGAAATTCATTACTTTGTTAAGTGAAATTCTGTATCACTTGCAATTTTTTCTGTTTTAATTCTAATTTGTACTCTTTAAAAAATAAAAAAAGATGAAAAGTCTGAAAACAAAGAAAAAGTTGGAAAGAAAAATAAGACAGGTTTTTTTATAGTAAAAGAAAGAGGTCCTTAAATAACATGACAAACATAATACTTTGTCTCTTTGCATAACTGTTTTTCACTCTATGATCACTTTTCAAATTTATTCCCATTTGTTAAGCAGAAAGGCATATTACAGATATCAAATAAAAATCCTCAATTGTGGCCTCAACACAAACATCAACCAGCTTTAATGCCCTTTGTAAAAGTAAACTATAGCTGCTCATGCTCTGAGAAACCAGACAGCAAGACCTAGGTAGTACCATTTACTAGGTAGTAGCACTAGATGCTAGCCTGGCTTTGCCCTGGGAGACAAAACCTACAGGGGTTTTTTTTTGTTTGTTTTTTTCAGAATCAGGGATTGAACTCAGCCTCTTGCGCTTGCCAGTGAGGCACTTATTCCACTGAGCCATCTCCTTGGCCCCTAAACTACAGTTCTTACTAGATGAAAGTCCTCATGTGAATGAAGCTATGACTGTCAAAATGTTTCTATTGTTTTTGTCATTCTTGTTGTCTATTTATCCCATGCTAACAGTTTGCTCAAACTCTACTAGCTCTCCATTGACTTTTGATTTATTTTTTTCTTTTTTAATGATACAAAATTTTACTAAATTTCAACAATGATTGTTATATTGCACAGTCACTGTTTCCTACTAGCTAGTTCAGAGTTGACTTGTCATTCTATCTCTATCTTTCCACGGTGGCTCCTAAGCTGAACCTATCATCCATTTTGTTTCAGTCTCTTTATTCCTAGCCATGGTCTCACTGTTTTACACCTAGATCCTGGCCCTATTATCTTATAGCCACTGTTTTACAGAACCCTGTTTTACATGTTACTTAGAATCACCACAGCCTTTTCTGATGCCCAAATTAACAGGGGCTTTAAAAATGAAGTTTTTTATTCTTTACTAACTCCATGACAAGTTAGTGTATTAATGCATTTTAATGGGAACAATGAGTGCATTCCTGTTGCTAATATGCCTGATATGCTGAGAATTTCCTAAATTAACTTTCAAAAGCTCTACCTTCTAATGGTGTGGAAGATATGGGAACAGGTGCAGGAGTTGAAAAGTGTATTGCATTTTTCTGAGATTTTTAAAAGATTTTCCTCTTCCAGAGTCAGCTCCAGACTGAGGTAGTTAATGTCCTCATTAATCAGCTAGTTATTGGTTTCAGAAATGAAAATCAGATGTTATTGCAAAATAATGGGACAGTATGAACCTAAGCTCAATTTATACCCTCAATCAACTGTCAAAGTCAAATGGATAATCACTTTTGTACAATTTACACACACATAACACATAACAGGATCCCAAGCAAATGTGTGATCCATGTTCCAATCCAGAAAACATAACTGTTTAACATGATGTATCATGACTTAACATTCCTCTTCAGATGCATTCACTAATAGATGAGGGAGAAGACAAAGGAACTGAATTATGGAAGAAGGACAAGAGTATGACAGCAAATTTAGAAAGTCATTCAAAGTATTCTTTTGTTTCTCCTTGGTTCCAAATTTTTCACAGCCAGTCTGTAGAGACAAAATTGTTGTAAACTTCCTCTCCTGAGAAAGGGATAGATGAAATCAGTACCCAATCAGGATCCCTCAAGGGAGGCTATGCTAAGCATATATGCTCCTGCTCCTCATAGACAATCCAGGGGTCAGTGACAAATACAAGACTACATTATAAATGCATTATACAGAAGAGAGAATGGGGATGAACACAGTTGGGAGTAGCAGGGAACTTGTATACCTTGTGAAGCAAATGAGTAGCAGCACGGAGAAAATCCTGCATCCCAAAAGATACCTACCTGTGCTGTAGGGTATTGTCAATTCCTAGGGCAGGGAGAGGTCATGCAACCAGAGATATTAAAATGGAAATGAGAAAAGATATGAAGAAAACTACTGTCTACCAAATGGTATGAAACTATTACTGTATTCTTAACAAGGTGGCTATCAGTTCAGGGTAAAGGGAGTGGGAAGGAGTAGCATGAGGATCATGAGAGCAAAAGTAAGATACATGAAGACAGCATGTATCAACTTTAAAGTTTGACAGTTGCCTGTAATATTCATGCCACATCAGTGCTCCTGATGTGGAACTGCTGTCAATCTTCTACCTGCTTTATCCTCAGCAGTCTTATCAAGTTCACTGAGAACCTAGGGATGATGAGGGAGATGCCCATTTCCCTCAGGGAAGAACAGGGCAGGGTTACCTTCTTGCAGAGAACCATCTGGTGGTCAAATAGGAAGAAGACCCGTTGCTGGTTGCGACCATAGGGCTGGTAGATCCAAGCCATCTCTCCAGTGTAGATCAGCTCTGAGCTCCTGTCTAGGATATCTTCACCCTGCAAAGGATACCTGACAGTCAGAGGCAGCCAGGCAAGAGAGATCCTCTAAGGCCAAGCATACACTAGGGTAGGAGGGGCCCAGAAAAGGACTGGTGAACAAAGAAGGAGGCAGTAACTTTCAGAAATCCTTAAAAGGCTTTACAACTTCATAAATTTGGAAGACCTCATCATTTTGAAGCCAAATAAGACCAATGACCAGGACTATCTGAAATTCTGGACTGTCATAGCTTCATATAGTAAAAATCTCTTTCCTTCCCAGATGAGTTGAAGGGAAAAGGGGAGGGCAAGAAAACAAATCATGTAGAGTGAAAGAGGATCAGGCATCTTCTTGTGATTTGTTTTTCTCCTCATAGTTCATTAAAAATTTATTGACTGAATAAGACACTTCCCTATCACATACTTACTTGATCTTTTACCTAGTCTTTAATCACTTGCCTTTTTTGCTACACAGGGTCAGATTTTAAAAATAAAGCATGAAGACACTTCATTCCTAGATAATTAAACTCAATATTGTTTAAAAGCTCCCTTTCTTTGTTTATGTGAACTCTGTGAGATCATAGGTATGCTGGGAGTATCTGTCAGGTACCAATTCAGTCTTCATCCTTGTCTTAAAGCGGAGCACATCTAAGTGGAAGAAATGAACACAGATGTGCTCAGAAATCATGCGACGTGTCTTAGGTACTCTTCTTTCACTGCTGGGACAAATACCCGACACTCAAAAGGAGGGAAGGAAAGGCTTATTTAGCTCACAGTTTCTGGAGGTTTCAAGACACTGGAGGAGAGGCTGGGGTGCTGCCAGGTCCAGGATGACCCTCTCCACATCTTTGAGAAAGTACAAACTCGCCAGTTTAACAGTTCGTGCCTCTCTGGCCCCACCCCTCGGGCCCCGCCCTAGTATTCTGACCCCACTCCTCAAGTCACTGTTGCTCCTCCAGTTGCATCTGCCCCATAACTTACACGAGGGTTTTTTTTTTGGGGGGGGTGGTGGTGGAACTAGACACAAACCATAAGAGAACATAAGGCAAACCACACTAAAGACAAGGACATACAAGTGTACATCCTACAGCCTATATGAAGAGGGAAAAGGGCACTGGATGAGGATGCTAAATTAATCTTTCCTTAGCACCTATACAGGTCAGACATTGTGCTAATTACTTTCATTCTACCTCATTTGTTCTTCTTAATATCCATGGGAGACAGATACTTTTGCTCACATTTTATACTTCCAAGCACAGAGAGGTCAAGTGATAAGACAGATCAACCACATAGTTAGCTACAGATACACAACCCAACTCTTTGCAGCTCCTAATTGTGTAATCAACTCCTTATCTTACATTATGTCATCTATATTCCAAAAACTCACTGTAAGTCTACCAATTCTTTTTCCTGGGTCTCAGGGTTTTTTTCCATAATCTTATTTAGAAATAAATAGCAATGAGACAGTTTCAAATCAAATTGGTAAGAGAGTTCCAATAATTAACACACTGCATGCAGTCTTCCTAGTGGTTATTTGTTGTACAAAATGCAGACATGATATCCTATTTACAAACACTATTAGAACAAATCCCTCTATTCATTGAATTAAGAGAAGGTAGCTATATATCTCTCCTAACCGTTTTGAATACACAAACACAAAATGGTCATTCATCTGTATCCCCTTTTTTTGTTTAGCTCTGTTATTTAAATATTATAGGTGTGTGAACTCAGCAAAATATTCTAAAAGAGTCCATTAGCCCATAATAGTATTGGGTCTTCCGCTTGACTGGCAATGTCAGAAATTGTTGACCTGAGTCCCCTGCAGCTCAACATAACAACATGGCTTTACTTCTTATACTTCGTTTTTACACTTTCCTGCTGGATGGTTAAGCCCAAGAAAAAGGAAGACCTATGTAACAAGAATTGTAGTTTTTGTATCTGATCAGATCAGTCAAATCCCCTCAGGGTTTATCCAGTTTTTCCTGTTGTTAAATGAAGCATATTAGAATGACCTTTCCTTTTTTTTTAATTTTAGTACAGCATCTGCAGGGTCTCACTATGTATATTCTCCTGTTTTCAGCCTCCCAAGCACTGGAATTACAAGCAAGCACCACTACACCCAGTCTCAATTGCCCTCTCTGGGCGCCCTGAGGGTGGGGCTGGCATGGCACACCAGTGATTGAACCCTGGCCACTGTACTCTGCCTACGCAGGTGTTTTAGTCCACTGAACTATCTGGCTGGCCCTGAGAATGACCTTTTTGAGTTTCAGCTCTGATATTCTGACAAGAATATGTCAGTCTTACAGAAAAAAAAAGATTCTATGCAAAGTTACAGACAGAGGGACCTGCATCTCCCGATAAATAATCAAGAGGCAAAGAGCCTAAGTAAGGTACTATGTCAAATAAAAGGGCATCTGGAAATAATGTTCTTAAGTATACCATTTTTCTAATCTAAGGGTTGGAAAGGTAAGGGGTCACTCAGTAAAATTATATTCCAATAACAGAACTTGAAAGAAGCTCAGAAATATTGTTTCACTCCAGGCTTCATCTTTATCTCAAGATTACACAAAATCTAGGTAAATAATTCTTGAGAGGCTGACAAGCTAGTACAGAACCCCTGGGGTTCTGATGCTGGATTAGCACTCTTCTTAGGCTCAGGGAGTTGCACAGGCCTTTACTACTGGAGGAATTGAAACCTAAGAGTGGTACAAGTCCACCACAGCACACCCTGGTGCAAGCGAGGAAGATGTATCAAATTCACTGTGCATGATTAAAAGGAAGGGATAAAAGGAGGCCAATGTTCTAAAAAGATGACAAGGATGACCTTTAAAAGTACCACTTGCTAAACTAAGAATGATCACACCAGAAGAATTCCTGAATATTACGTGGTAGCAATGTAACACACAAGTAAGCATTGCCATATGTAACTGCAAGCAAAAAAATATCTTAAGGTTCAGCCTGATATCTCTGAGTATTAAAGCTCCTGCTTAGACAAATGCTGGGACCAGATTTCAATCCCTGGCCTGCCACCAGCCCTGCCCTAGAGGTGCACTGAGACAGCTACTGAAACTGGATGTAATGTTGCGTGCCTGTAATCCCAGTGCTTGGGAGGCTGAAAACAGGAAGATCAGTATGTATCAGATCTGTGTAGTGAGACCTTGTAGACTCTGCATTAAATACATAAAAAAGTCTTGAAACTCCACTATGATGACAAAGCTGATTGCCTTTGAACAACTTAATTATCTTCATTGTATCTATTTCCTTATCCTTAGTAGTGATAATAGAATTACTAATTTAATCTTATTTAGGTGTCATTAAAATTATATAAATTATCATATATAAAGAGCTTAGAAAAGTACACATCACACTGTAAGCCTTATATAAGTGATATTTTATGCGTTTAGTACAGGGTATTACTATGCAGCTAGGACTTTTGGTGATCTTCCTGTTTTCTGCCTCCCCAGCAGGCTCACACCACCATGTCTGGTGTCTGTGGGCAGCTCAGCACTCCCGGGGATGGGGCCAACATGGCATGTAGCACCAGGGACCAAACCTCAGTGCCTAAGCTTGTCTAAGCAGGTGCTTAGACCACTAAGCTATCTTGGTGGCACAATACTTATTATCTTGACTATTATCTACGTGCACCAGATACTATATACATCATGTTTCCTACTAAAACAATAAACTGAAAGGAGATATACAATTATCCTCAAAATATGAATCAGAGAAATCAGAAGTAATTTGTCCATAGAAGCAGAATTCAAGTCAAATTCCCTCCAGAGTCTATGCTCACCAAACTCCATCATAATGATGGCATCTCTCCCAAGGAACAGCCAGCAATGATGAAGGGTTTCTGAGGTGAGCATCTGAGCTGGTTTCTGGGTTCAGTGCTGCTACCAACGCACTTTGTGCACTTGGAAAGTAGCTAAAACTTTCTCCACCTATTTCTTTATTTAGGGTGGGGCTCTTGTTGGTATCCATGGCTACTAGAGAGCACCTAAGTAGTTTGTGCATGGGAAAGGACATGCTCATTTTTCAGAGCTCTACCTCTTTCTTACTCTGGCTTATTTGTGCTGCACATCTTTCTCTTGACTCCAAAGTGAAATTCCTTTCTACTACCCATCATAGTCCTTCTTTTCCAATCCTCCAGGATTTTTTTCACATTGTTTCCTTTGCTAGGAATATCTCTATCCCCACTAGATTACCAAGACAATATCTCAATCTCACACATAACTCCTAGATCTAGCATAGGGCCAGATGAAAAGGAGAGACATAAAATGTCTCCTGGTGTCATACATTTATTCAAAGTACACTTATTTGTTCCCATCCACACTGAAAGCTAAAGAAATATGGACATAATTTGAGCTTTCATTACTTTCCTTACGTTCATCTTCCCTGCCATTATCTGTTATGCAGTTCTAGCCACACAGTTCTCCCATACCTCAGGACCTTGGTTCTTTTTCTTCTGTCTGACTGAAATGCTCTGAACTAGTAGGATCATATGATTTGCTCCTTCATTTCTGTCAGATCTTTTCTCAAAATTCACTTCCTCAGGAAGTACATCATTATACTGTAACTCTATATTTCATCATAGTGCCTTTCACTACTAGAACCTATATAGTAATTTTTCATCTCTGTTACTGAAATATAAATTCAGTAATGGTAGAAAGTTCTTCATGTTCACTGATATACTTCCAGAATCCGTAATGATACCTAACATATTAGGACATTCTCATGGTTTAGGTCTAAATTGTCCTATAATGCTTCCATGTTTGTGGAATGCTGAATGGATCATGGGAGTGTTACAATTACCAGTAAATTTGTCCACTGATGAGTGCACTACCTAAATATGTTGTTAGTAGGTAAGCCCTGATGGGAGGTGTGGCACTGAGGGTATGACCCAGAAGGATGTACAGCATTCTTGTTCCCAGATTCTCCCTTCTTTCTCTGCTTCATGGTGATCATAGGTAGAGTCCATTTTCCTTTGCCACACTCCTCTTCTATCCTGTTCCTTCCTTGGA